AATGGAGTAGAAGAAGTGACCCCCCCCTGCCCAATCTGTGAGAGTGGTATATCATTTTTTTTCTTAATTATTTTTAATTAACATATAATGTACTATTTGCCCCAGGGGTACAGGTCTGTGAATCAATCAGACTTACACATTTCACAGCACTCACCATTGCACATACCCTCCCCAATGTCCATAACCCGGCCATCCTCTCCCTCTCCACCTCCCCCCAGCAACCCTCAGTTTGTTTTTGTGAGATTAAGAGTCTCTTATGGTTTGTCTCCCTCCCGATCCCATCTTGTTTCATCTTTTCCTTCCCTACCCCTCACAAACCCACCCGCCCTGCGTCTCGAATTCCTCATATCAGAGAGATCATGTGATAATTGTCTTTCTCTGATTGACTTATTTCACTCAGCATAATACCCTCTAGTTCCATCCACGTAGCTGCAAATGGCAAGATTTCATTTCTTTTGATGGCTGCATAGTATTCCATTGTATATATATATGAGAGTGGTATATTTTGATAAAATAGTATAGGGACAATACTAAAAGAGGAAATTATAGACCTGTACCATTTACATAGATTCTAGCATTAGATCTGGAAATTGAGCACTATATACACATGAATAGATCATGATGACATATGGTTTATCCCAGGAACATAAGGAAGATTTAATATGAGAAAAATGTATTTAAGTAATACATTATGTTAGAATTTTAAGAAAGAAAAAGTACTCAGATATGTTACATAAATTTAACAAATGCAGTTATGAAAAAGAAAACAACCTAAGCAACTTATGGATAAAAAAGAATTGCCTTAAGCTGATAAAATATATCTTCCAAGAACCTATGGAAAAATTATGCTGGAACTCTAAAATTATGGTGAAACTCTAAGGAAAATTTGTCTCTTCTAATACTTCTTTCTTTCAAACTCTAATCTTTTGCTTACATAGAAAATACAAAGAGACCCATTTTAATTTTTAATTTCATATACATTAGCTAGGACATTTCTTAAACTATGGAATAGTGGAGGTAATAGGAACATTCCTATGAGAGCTATTTCCATGCCGATATGTAGGAATTCTACTGATTTTTAAAATATTGAATTTGCACTTGGCAATTTTGCTACTCTTATTGCAAGTGATATGGTGGTCTAGAATTTCTCTTCCTTCCTTCCTCATGGTTTTAATTGATTATGCAACCTTGAGTTCTTATTGTTACTATGAATGAAATCTTACCCCCTCCCCAAAAGGGAATAAATTATAAAACATTATTGGTCCAGCACAACTTTATTTCTATTACGTTTTCAAATCAATTAGCAGACTAAATGGTAATAACATGTTCCCACTGATGGAAATTTTCTCCAAATGCGTCTGTAAATTCAATACTCTTCCAATCGAAATCTCAAGAGGGATTGACAGGCTGATTTTCAAATGCATATGGAACAGCAAAGAGCCAAGAATAGCCAAGGTCATTACACAGCTTTCTAATATCTGGCAAGGAAAGTGTCTGCACTTCATATATACCTCTGTCAATGGTAAACTATCTTATTAGAATTCACTTTGAAGGGGTGCCTGGGTGGCTCAGTGGGTTAAAGCCTCTGCCTTCAGCTCAGGTCATGATCCCAGGGTCCTGGGATCGAGCCCCGCATCGGGCTCCCTGCTGGGCAGGGAGCCTGCTTCCTCCTCTCTCTCCGCCTGCCTCTCTGCCTACTTGTGATCTCTGTCTGTCAAATAAATAAATAAAATCTTTAAAAAAAAAGAATTAACTTTGAAATTCATATTTATTCATTCAACAAATAGAATTAACTTTGAAGAAGAATCACAATGAACAGTGTAATGCAGCAACACAGAGACCCAACCATAGATCCACACAAATATGGAACCTGGGTATATGGAGGTAGTGTCTCACACAGGGATAAAAGCAGACTCTCCCATAATGAGTGTTAGGACAACTGAGTAATTCACCCGGAACTGACATGTAAAAGGATTTGGACCCAGATCCTTTTGGAAAAGAATTTTACAAAGCCTTTATCTGACAGCTTGTGTTTTGTTATAGTGTTCACTGTTGTATGGAAGTTTATTTTTAATATTACATTTAATACAAAAAGCCTTCCTTTTTGACTTCAAGGTGGGGAGAGATTTCTAAAATAAAGTACAAAAACACCAAACCCAAAGGAAAAAAAATGTTTCTTTATGGATTTTTAATAGGGTCTACATTTTCTTTTAAAAGTTTAAAATAGGGGCACCTGGGTGACTCAGTGGGTTAATCCTCTGCTTTCGGCTCAGGTCATGATCTCAGGGTCCTGGGATCGAGCCCCGCATCAGTCTCTCTGCTCATCGGGTAGCTTGCTTCCCTCTCTCTCTCTCTTCCTGCCTCTCTGCCTCCTTGTGATCTCTGTCAAATAAATAAATAAATAAATAAATCTTAAAAAAAAGTTTAAAATAAATAATTCAATAGCAAAAATGGACAAGGAATACCAGTTGTCTATGCACAGAAAATGAGAATGTCCAAGAAATACTTACAAAATATACACGTCTCACTAGGAATCAGAGCAATGCAAATGAAAACAGCATATTGCTTCTTCAAGTTTAGACATTGCCAAATACAGGTTGAAGTTCCTCTTTCTCCATATCTTCACCCCGCCTTAGCCGACGGTTACCATTTCACAACTATCAGGTTAACACGTTGCTTTCCACACAGGGCGATTGCCATCCATGCCCCTCCAGCAGCACTCAGCCTGTGGCCCGCTGTGTTAGATGTCACTAGTGGTCAGTATGCCGTTCTGCACACAGAGGCAGTGGGATGGCATTGCCCCTTGGGGAGGTTGTGTGACCACTGCTGGGGCGGCAGATCGTGAGCGCAAGTTCTGTGTGTTGTTTCCCACTTGTATAAGATCCTCTCCTCTTGCCGTCACACTGAGGAAGGAGCCCAAGTGGTTGGAATGGTGCTGCTACAAGATGGGACCCCCCCTCCCTGGCACGGTGGGTGCAGTGTCAATGAGAAATAAATTCTTGTTTGGTTGACAAGCTAAGGCTGCAAAATAAATTTTAATTGACTTTAAAAAGTCACATGTGCAACCATTTCTCTAAGGTAGGTACAGGTCTAGGGATAGAAGGGCGGGGCATGGATGCGGAATCTGGACACAGAGCGGGCGTGTCGTTAATGTGAGTTAGTGGGACCTCGCCTGGCTTACCCTAGTTTTAGAGATACATGGATAAATAAAACCCACTTCTTCCTGTCAAGGAGCTCAGACAAGCAAGCTGATATTTACAACACAGTATGATTTACCCAGTCCTAGGTGGTTCAGTGTGGTAAACACTGGACACACGTGGGTAGTGAACATCTGGTGTGGCTAGGGTGCCTGAAGAACCGAATTTCTTGTTTCAATAGAAAAATGGAAGCTGTTAAAAATCTTGCCACTAAACACAGCTTAAGTGCTTTGGTGAGATAACATCTCATTATAAATGAAAATTTAGCATTAAAATTTAAACCTCCTGTAAGTTGAAGATATATACCAGGTTTCTAAAGATTGTGTGTTTTTTTTTTAAGATTTTATTTATTTATTTGACAGACAGAGATCACAAGTAGGCAGAGAGGCAGGCAGAGAGAGAGGAAGAGAAGCAGGCTCCCCACCAAGCAGGGAGCCTGATACGGGGCTTGATCCGAGGACCCTGGAACCATGACCTGAGCCGAAGGCAGAGGCTTTAACCCACTGAGCCACCCAGGCGCCCCTAAAGATTGTGTTTTAAGCAGTCTATATGTGTGTGCTTATATACATGAAATACTTCCATTTTATTTTTACTGAAAATGTTTCAATATTTTAGACGTATTGGGTCAAATAAAACATTTAATGTCACCCGCTCTTTTTATTCTCCTAAATGTGGCTACCAGAAAGCTCAGACTCCATATGTGGCTCACATATATCTCTACTGGGCAGCACTGTTCTAGATGAAGCACGCATTCCCCAGAACACTATCTCGCTCCAGCTAAGGGCTCTGACCCCTGCTAGACTCTCAAGAAGTCAGTTCTTACTGTGTAATTGGTGGCAGCAAAGGGCTCTACACATGTTGCAAAGCAAAAAGCTTTTCAGATGCCTGGAGCTTCCTGCTAAAACCCCAGCTTGCCCATGACTTCGCTCAGCTTCATGTAAATGTTCGTCTTTCTGGAGCTTGAGGTTCCTTCACAATACAATGTGGCTTAGCGACTGCCCCTCCCTTGCTTTCTGGCCTGGATATCAGCTTCTGCTCAGGCCCCTTCTCTGTTCACTCCGCAGCCCCTCTGGTCGTCCACACCCAATGTAAACCCCCCTTGAGACTTCCACCACCTTGATTCCCACTTCCCCCCAGATAACCAAAGGCAACAACTTATTAGACTAGATCTATAGGATGGAGGATGACAACTCCTCTCAGCTAACAAATGGGAACAGCAAACTGCTGAATTTAAGCAACTCACATCTCTTTATGTTTTCCTCAGGATCTGCCAAAACTCAAGTCCATTTCTCCTTTTCCCTTTTTGACTCCTTGGAATGAAATGAGGGAACCCCTCTCCCCACCCTTGCCCTGAACATCCTCATCCTCTTTCCTCCCAGGTATGCATGGAACCAGATGAGAGGATGTTTGGACAGACAATGGCACAGTGCAGCTGCCCACATGGTCCAGCAGGCTCATCAACCACTTGGGAGCTCTCCCACCCCAGACCCCTCCCAGCTGAGAGGCAGGTGCAGTGGCCATATACCATCTCTGACCAGGCTACAGACCATGAGACGAAAATTGTTACTGCTGCCCAAACCAGCACCTCTTGTGACTTTAAGGCAGAGCAAAAGAAAAAAGGGACCTGGTGTCATTTCAGAGTATGCATGGCTAGCCAGCAGTGCATTGAGTTCACAATATACCCTCTGGAACTCAAGGGACCTGTGCTGTACAGAAGGACACCTTTCCATATTTGAGAGACCTATCCCACAAGATAGACTATGTCATGAATAGCCCCTGAACACTGAAATGAAAGGACAGAGAACATTATACGGTTGCTTTATTTAACAAAATTTATGCCAACTTCTATATCTATATACAAACGTGTTTCAAAACCAGAGCAGCAGACACACAAACTGTTCACACAGGACTTACAATAATGCTTACAACGTGTCAATGTTTGTTTTCTGCTCAAATTGACATTTACAGATTCAAAAATTATTCCAAAGGCCAAGCAACGCCACATCTTTGTTTCCAGGGATGGTTTACACCTAGTAGGTCATGAAGAAAGAGGAATGGAGCTTTTGAGGGTTAATATACTGTGTTCAGTTTAGTTTAACAAACAGCATTTGGCCCACAGTAGGGCTCACAAAATGTTTTGGGGAGGGGATAAAAATTTGGGTAAAATATTATCTATGAGACTATGAGTTTTTTTTTTTTAATTTTCACTCTGTCATAACTATAACAAGATCGTCTCACTTCTGGCCCCCAAAAATAAGAAACTCTAAGAAATAAGTGTAAAATTTTATTAGTAAGTACTATTAATAAAATTTAGCGAGTACAGGTCCTTCAAAATCAAGGTAGGAGTATGTAAATACTCAACATGGTTCTACTCCTACTTTGTTCAATTTTGTTAGAAATGTTTTCTGACATTTACCTACATGTTAACAAGCTATTTCCTAAAGTTCTTCATATAGGGAGGACAGACATGTTTTGCTTTCTCATTTTTTATGACTTTCAGGAGCCTTCAGGATTCCTCAAAAAAGTGTTGTAGCTCTGGAAATCTCCAAAAAAACCCTTTGCTACGTAGTCTACTCATAAAATTTAGCTCCATACAAGTACATAAGCTGAGTTTTAGGTAATACTTGAAAAATGGTTGATGCTGCAAAGTATAAATATTTCATGTTGACACTTAACACTCTGACCTGATTCATGGTCACTTTTCTTGAAAGGTCAAGCTCTAGCCTCTCAAGAAAGATGCTACTAAGCAGTGAGGTATAGAAGGAGAAAAAATAAAAAATTAAAAAATCACAGCCTTTTCTTCTCAGTATGTTAGAAGCCTTCCGTTCTGCCGGCAGGGCACACATCTACACATGGCTCACATTGCAGCGTTCTCCTCTATGTGGTGAAGTGGTACGCAGGATCCAGTTCCTGGAAAGCACCAACTAGAAATGCGCGGGGATGAAATACTGCAACAGAATGATTCTCAGGGGTTTCTACTTCTGTTTGTTCATAGAAACCAGACTCATCACTTACTTGTGCTTTCATTTTCTTAAAAATGAGATCACACCATTATAAAAATGTGCTTCCAAAATAATTTCTAGAATATAAAATGTCTTCTGTTTTTCCAGCCCACGTAATTTCATTATAAAATAGGAAATCAGAAAATTAGATACTGCGGTTTTCATATGGTAAAAAATATTTATATGTGTACACACATGCATATATACACATCTAAAAAACCCAAGTTTTAAATTTCAATAAAAATTAACCAATTAGCCAACTTAATGATCATGCATTCAATTAGACATAAGAAATGTTGATTATCTGTAATGAGAACCAATTGCAAAGAATTACAATTCCACCTATCAGAAAATAGTCTAAGACTTTCACGCGTGTAAAAACAAAACAAAACAAACCCAACACAGAAAGTTCCAACTAACCAGCACAATGGAAATCTCACTCAAGTTTTTTCCAGTTATAACGGCCCCCAGTTCCATTCACTGCACTAACGAATTCCCTAAGGATGGAGCAGTCTTAAAGGGAGGAGGAAAACAGAGCTGGAGCCACCCTGTGGCCGTTCCAGGTACGTGGGTGTGTTCTGCATGATGGTTGTTGCCTGGTGGAGTGGGCGAGTGAGGACGAGATCCAACCCCAGCTCCCTCTGCCAGGCCACCAATCTGCCCACGAGGTGGTAAAGGTGCGGAAGGAGTTTTTCCTAATGCACACAAGGTGTCCTGTGGACCAGCCGTGGTGCTGGTGTCTATCGGTGGAGAGGGAGCAGGTGTTCTCAAGAGTTACTACCTAGGAAAGGTGAGCGATCGGGAGAACAGACTGTGGAAAAGAGAAGTTAGAAGTGGATTGTGACTATCAGTGAAAACCAGGAATAGTGTTTCTGTAACCTCAACGAAGATGGTGGGATGTTTCTATTTTGTTGATTTTCATGAGGGAAAGCCTTAAGGGGCCTCAAAGGCACAAAAGGAAGGGGACAGGAGGTGAATAGGGAAGTGTCTCACTCCACAGGAGAACCTGTTCAGAAAACTGGCAGAGGAAGAGCAGGCTCTGAGCTGGGGGCGGGGGGGAGGGGCAGTGTCTGAGATCCTAAGTGGTGGAGAAAGTGCACGCAGCCTTCGCCCTGGTCTGAGAGTTCTCAAAGGAAACCAGTGATCACAATAAAGTCATAACTTTCTTCACAGTCCTACCTTGAACTATCTTTCCCAGATTTACCTATGTCATAAGAAGCCTGTTCATTCACATTTTAAACTAGTTACTTTACCTTTGTGAGGGTGGTAAGGGCACACAGGAGCCTTAAAATTTTGGATATTTTACTTCTGTGACCATTCTTTTTCTTCTTCTTCTTTTTTTAAAGGCACAATCCCTCCCCAGCTGTCATAAATCAGGACATTTAAAAAGAAAGCAAAGCTTTGAAAATGTTTCTTTCCTCCCCGAACATCTACTGCTGAAGTAATAAATTCAGGCAAACCCTTGGCATCATTTTTTCAAGTGGCCAAGCAAAGCTAATGCTCTGTGCTAGAGACAACCCTTCTGAGTACTGCCCAGTGGGTGAGGAATTTCAAGGAAGAGCCACTTTTCTATAGTCCAATTTAAGATAACGAAGTAGAAAGTATGATTTCCTGTATGTATCAAATATTCAGCACGAGTTAGTGCAGAGAAAAATGGATGTGTACACCAAGACATGGGTTTCATTCCTCAGTAGCATTTTGAATAAAGAGCATAGTGTAGAACACCCTAAACATGCCCCCCTGAACAGATCACCAGATTTGTTTCTACTCAGAAAAAAGGGGTGCTAAACAAAGACCTCTCAGATCTCAACTGGAAATCTGAAGTTTCACTTCTCTCCAGAAAAACACATGTACATAGATCTGTGCATACGATTCCGGGGGCTACAGACACCTGCCAAGGTCCAGTCAGTCATCTCAGGTTAAGACTCCTGGCTCTCAACATTCTCACAAGGTTTCTGAAGAATGAATGATCCTCCCATTCCTACAATCTGCATTTCTCCCACTGAGCCAGGGAGGGAGGGGAAAAACAAACAAACTAGAATAAACTAAAAATAAGAAAAACAATTTGCTTCAAAGACCATTTTTTACTTATTTGCCCTTGGAAGAAAGAACATCCCAATCTCTAGTTGCCTCTATCAAATGCCGCTGGCCGTGACTCATCCACTCCTCCTGGTCTTCATAAAGCCGCCCACAAAACCAGCACTTAAATATACACTGTGATGAGTCATCAGGCAAGGAATCCACCACCTGGTAGTTGTTTTTATGCACCTTCTTAAGCTTCATTTTCAACATCATTTGCCTTTTTATCTGATTGGCCTCCTCTGCGTTCTGGTATGTCAGGCGAACATGATGCCGTCTGATGCCTAACTGACACCTCGTCCTCTCTGATAGGACGACTTTGAGGACATTGCCTTTGTACTTATTGATTACCTTCATCACGTTGGTGACTTCTGGAGAGTCAACATCAGGATGGTTTAACACGATGACGGGCTGGTTCCGACGGGGGCATTTAATCAACTGGTCTGGCTTCGCGGCAATCAGTCGAAGCTGTCTTGCAACCTGAAAAATTGAAGGATCCTTGAGATAGCGGCTGGGATCAGCCTGGATTTTGCTTTTCTTCTTGGATGAATTCACTTGTTTGGTTTTGTTTTTACTTATAGGAAGACTTCTAGAAAGCAGTTTGCCTTGCTTACTCAGTTCACTGCTTCCTTGCTGACCATGCAGGGGGCCAGTTTTTTTAGGCATGGTGCTACAAAAAGCACTCTCTTTTCTTGGTTTTGGCCGAAGAGGTATATCAAGATTTTGGGACATATCTATGGGCCCACTTTGACTTGTCAAAGACGGTAAGTCTGAGTCTGTCTGTCTCACTGGGCAGAACGGAATGGGTTTTATTAACTGGGTCTCACGGCAAGGTATGCTGACCGGTGCTTCACACGTTGCCTCTATAATGTGGGTATCCTCAGAAGAATTAAGAACCCTCAACACAGCCCCTTTGGGGATCAATACTGGAGAAGTAACATGGGTCTTCCTGGTCACTCTGCTTTCAGTTTTCCCACTGCTGCCTTCTATAAACTGTGGATATATTTGCTGAGGAGTGAGCGGCCCATTGATACCACCGTCTTCCTGAGGTTTCGGGAGTGTGCCTGTGGAATAGCCAGTGCCGGCAAATGACACGTTAATTTCGTGAATACCTTCAGGAGCAGCTTGCGAAGTTCCCTTCGATGCCTGCCCTACAGAACGGCGATGTGCGTTATTTGCAGACAAAGATGACGGCTTGCCACAGGATTCAATCAACTGAGCTATCTTCCTGCGCAAGAGTTCAATTGACTTTATTTTGGACGTTGAACTATTCCACTTAACGCTCTCAGGGACGTTTTCAGACCCAGAGCTCAGAGAAAATACTGACGAGATGACTGGACCATCGAAAGAGTCCTTAGTCCTTTCAGGATTCTTTAATTCTAAAGGCTCCTCCACAGGCGGCTGAGACCTGATTCCATCCTCTCCTGGTATATTTACGTGTAAATACTCGCTTTTGTGTTGGGAAGAAATCTGGCCTGTGTTTGAAACTGCCTTGTGTTCCTCCGTCTGCTTGTCTTTCAACTTCCTATGAGAGGGAACCATTTTTATAGGAATACTGATCTCATGTCTAGATTCCAAGTTACTTGTAGTTACAGGCAACAAGCCCTTTTCTCCAGAGAAGGACATGGTTGCAGGTGACGCAGCCAGGGGATATAACTGCTGTGAGTCCCCAACTGAGTTCCTTCCATCTTCAGCAAAAGAAACAGCAGCTTTATATGGAAAAGGGTTTGATGCAGCTCTGAAACTGTGGAAAACACTGTTTTTTACTACAGATGCTGGAGAATGACCTCTTAAAGAAAGAGAAGGAAGAGCTGGTCTATGTGGATAGATACTACTTTTTTTCTGGAAGTCCTCAACTGTATCTGGGTACAGAAGGGATTCTCGATTGTGCACACTAGAATTTGACATGAAAAAATCATAAGACCTGACCCACTTCACATTTTTAAGTTGTTTCTGAACTGATGATTGAAGATGATCAGTGCCTGCCAGTTTTCCAACATTCCCTTCAATCACCAGTGACTTTGTTTGGCTTGCAGAAACTATTTTTTCTGGTTCAGCCGAACCCTTCTCTTTAATCATATGCTCAGAATGACCCCCTTCACCCCCACCAGCTTCGGGGTGGTTACTTTCTTCCAGAGGAAACAGTTTCAGGACAAGCTGCTGGGTCCCGTTGACGACCTTCACATCGATCAGCTGGGCCAAGCAGTTGGCAGGGACCACAAGTTCTGCTGGTGCCACCACTGTCAACGGCATTCCTGGCTGGACAGGCTCTTTCGCTGGGGACAACACTTCCACCTCCACGCTTTTGTTCTCAAACAGACTGCCTTCATTTGGCTCCATCAGGGTCACTTTATTTGGAATACACACTACATCTTTTTGGTATTCCTTTGATTCCGGCAACAACATGATATTGTGCATTTTGTCTTTATTTGTATGGAGGGAGAACCTTGTGAGTTGATCTGACAACTTATTTTGAAATGCAGTCCTTGGATTGGGAGCTTTTAGGAGCTCTGTGTTTTGTTTCGATGTGCTGATTCTTTTTGGCTCCAGCTTGGCAACAGTTCTGGGCGGTCGCCGTCCTCCCGCCCTCTCATGCACTCTGCGCCTGTGTTTGACAATGTAGTCATTCCGAATAGCACCATAGTCGCAGTACTCACATTGATAAGGGAATATGCCTGTGTGTTTCACCAGGTGCCTCTGGAACTCCCCTTTTGTGTAGGAAATGTAGCTGCAGTGAGAACAGATGAATTTAATCTCTTCATGTTGGAGCGTGTGCTTTTTGTACTGGAGAGGGTCCTTCGTGGAAAATCGACATTTATCGCAATAGTATTTGCCTGGCTTAAAGTTCCTTACCTTAAATTTGTTATTGATGGAACTGGCGATGGCTTCAGCTTTATTTCCTACAGGAGTAGCACTGGGATTACTATTCACAAAATGGAAATGGGAAGTGGCCACACCGAGGTTGCATCTGAAGCAAACGTATTTGTCTTCCTTCTGGCTTGGCCCAGTACCCTTTTTCAAATCTTGAAGCAGGATTTTGTCAACACTCTTGCACTTCATACACGTAGCAATGGTCATCGTGGCAGCCTCTGCCTCTGAGCCTTGACACAAGAGAGCTTGCGCTTCATGTCTATCCGGTCGAGTGGCTCTACTGGCATTTGGTTGTTTGGGGGACATGGTCAAGGAATTATGTCCATCATTCACTTGAGTGGTATATAACTGCTGTCCAATATCCTTCATCTTCTTTATTTGCATTTCCAAAAAGAGAGAGCAAGAAAATTCAGGAAGACTTCACATGATAAAACCCTTAGGGGCTATCCTTCATTTAACTTCGTGACTGGCGGAGAAGCAGTGACTTCCTGGGGGGCGTCATCAGTTATCCTTGCTTATAAACCACCACAGTCAGTGTATGATCCCCAAATAGGATTGTTCTCAATTCTCTGATAGTCCAGGCAACACTAAAGGAGGGGAAAAAAAAAGACATCATAAAGCACAGTTAATACATGAACTTAAGGTTTAGTTAAGCTATTTCCACACGTATCCTCTATTTCAATGACCTTTGATTTTTATGCTAAATCTTGACATATTTTTTTAAACACAAATTCACATTAAAACGTAATACAATGGAAATGGCAAAGAAGAAGCCTAAATGGAAGACATTTTTAAATTCAGCCCCCTAAAACTCATCCCTTTAGACCAACCATAACAGGCTGGCAGCAAGGAAACCACAGCTGTCTTTCAGAAGAGCCCCTGATACGTGACAGTTATTTTTAGGGGTCATGGACAGCATCCCAGTGATTTCACAGGTATAATTTCATATTAGCCTGAATAAAGCTTTGTGCAGGAGGGTGCTATTTCAACTTTAAACACACAAATTATCCAGTGGTGGAGAGAGCCAGGGCTTCGGCTCCAGTGTTCATTTGTTTCTATATGAAAGCTAACTGGCAGTTTGAATTCCCAGTTCTCTCATTTGCTCCCTTTGCTTTCACAAATGTAAGAAATCAGTAATACACCGGCAATGTTGGGTAGACAGACACTGATTCCATCAACATCTTACTGAGCATCTATTACGAGCCAGCAGTGAGCAAAACCCAGATCAGTCCGTACATCAGGAGGGTCTAGAGAGGGGAAACAGGCAACGTAGTTATTTCTTAGGTGGTGATGAGTAATTGATAAAAATACAGCCATAAAACCAGGCCAGGGGCCAGGGAGTAAGTAGGTAATGAGGCTGCAGGGCTGGCATGGAATGGTGTGGAGAGTCAGGAGAGCCTCCCGCTAGGCTGACCTCTAAGCAGAGACCTCAGGGTGGCCAGGGAGCAAGGACTGGGCTGTCTGGGAGAAGGGAGTTTCCGGCAGAGAGAAGGCAAAGGTCTGTGAGATGTGGGCCTGTACCACCTGAGGAATGGCAAGGAGGTGGAGAACAGAAGGTACTGAGTGAGGAGAGGAGGGAAGAGGAGGAGTAGTCCACATGGTCAGAGGCAGTAGGGGTGCTGATCAAGGAAAGCTCTAGCCGAGTCGTAAGGATGTGGCTTTTCCTGTCCCTGATACAGATAACAGGGGAGACTGGAACAGTGACTTGGCCCACTGTGATTTGCACCCCTACAAAGCCCCCAGCCGCTGCATGGACAAGTATCTGTGAGGGTGGAATGACAGTATGGGGGGCTGAGGTGATAGGTGGTGGCAGCCCGGGCAGTGGTGGCAGAGACGCAAATGTCCCTACAGCAAGTGCCACAACAGGTGTAATGCTGACGACGACTTCTATAAAGAGTTACCTTTAAGTATACATGCTTTTTTCCAAAACATATAAGAACTTGGAGCCAAACAAAAAAATTCTATTTGGGGATCTGCTAAAAAGCCTTTATTTTATGACCTTCTAAAATCCACTGAAGCCTTCTGAGCCTCAATTTTTTCATCTGGCAATTAGAATGAAGGACACTTATCCAACCTCTCCCACAGCGCTGCCACGATGACTAAAATGCTCGAGAGTGTAAGAGAACACTTCTGAAGTTTCAAAGTGCTTCTCTAAGTGTCAAGAGGCATACAGACATACCCAATGAGTGTCTGTTCAATTATGAGCAGCAATATGAGGGGGAATTAGAAGCTTTGTTCTGGCACAGTGCTCACAGGCCCAGAGCCACGCAAACTCAAGTCTAAAAGGCCAACCTGTGGGAGCAGAAGGCTCTTCTGTTGGGTCAAGAGAAGTAATTATTACATATTCAAAACCAGCATAAAATCTGTCTTTAAAAGCATTTTTGGAAAGGACCACTTAAGAACATACCATGTTTGACTACAGGGTTTATTTTCTTTGACACTGTTGTCTTTCCCTATTTTGCTTTTGCAAAAGAGAGCTGCTTCCTCTCAAAGGCAATTCCCAGTATGCAGCAGAACCCTGGTGGCATCTAGGACTCCATCAGACTTGCTGCACCATGAATGTGTATGTAATACTTAGACAGCAAGTGGGCAGAGGCCCGTGGGGTCACAAGGCGCTCCCTCTGCCTTTAGTGTTTGAACACATACCTATGGAAGAGGACTGTGAAGAGGGCAAGACGTGCAAATGCCTCCAGCTAGCAAACTGGTAATGGACAAGGACAAGGACTTCCATTTCCCACTGCACTCCTGGCATACACAACAGGTGGAAGTTTTAGGAGTCACTCGTAGAAGCTCCCATGCACTTCATTTTCCAGAGTTGTAAACTGGATTTAGTGAAGGGAGACCCCAGGGACAATACTAGTACCAGAACTTCTGGAAGCAGAACTTCTGCTATTCCTCATTGAGTCACCCTTTCGCACCTGCTTATTTACCTACATTCATCTACATGATTTCCAAGCCGTCTCCCAGTGCTGACCCCTGAAATCACAGGATTCTATCATCTGAGAATACTGCTATTGTCAACGTGTTCACATGGGCATTTTCATCCCATTAAAACGGAACAAGAGGGGTACCTGGGTGACTCAGTAGGTTAAAGCCTCTGCCTTCAGCTCAGGTCATAATCCCAGGGTCCTGGGATTGAGCCCCACTCTGCTCAGCAGGGAACCTGCTTCCCCGCCTCTCTCTGCCTGCCTCTCTGCCTACTTGTGATCTCTGTCAAGTAAATAAATAAAATCTTAAAACAAAACAAAAATGGAACAAGATCTGTGGCCAGAAGCTAAGAAAACCATGGCTCCAAGAATGCACAGGTGAAAAGGGACTCTAACATACTGGGTTATGTTAGGGACTGGTCCAGTGGCTCCCAAATGTGGAGGAGTCTCAGTGTCACAGGTGAGACAGACAATTCTGGACTTACCCCTATGCTAGCGAGTTGTGGTTAAAAGCCAGTATTAGAAATCACTGGAAGAAACTGCCAGCAACATTTCAAACCTTTAAGTCATCTTCACCAGTTGATCATGCAACTGATGGTCTAATATTGCCATAAACAAAACTGCTCCTGTCTTTAGGCTGTTAATTTTACTGTCCCGTAGTTCTCATTGTTGAGAATTTGCCCTTGAATGAAAATGAAACCACTGTCCTTGTAACTTTCTTATATCCTGTTTCTGGGGCTACAAACATCCTCATCCCTCTTGATAGAACCATGATCAACCTGCACACCTTTTCTCTCATTTAGTCCTTGGTTCTCAATTCTGTTCTAAAGATCTGCATACCAGCTGATATCAAATCTGCTATCTATTGGCCCTGTAATCCTACTATCTAGAGAGAGGGAGGGGACAAGAGGACAGGAGGACGGGAGGGCAGAAAGGGGAGGAAAGAAGTAACTCACTTGCCAGGCACAACCTGTTTACCAACTACTTTAACATCTTACATATTAATTCTAAGAAATTCTCAAGAATCTTCAGACGAGATTCCTCCACTTGAAGACTCACCAAACCAGGATTCCAACTGTGCATTTTTAGTTTTCCAACACTTTTCCCAGTCTCCGGGATTCTTCAAAATTTATAGAAAACAGTTTTGCCATTTTCTTTCCAAGTCCTCTTAAAACTTGTAGACATTATTCCTCCTAAAACCGAAAACTTAAAATCCCAGACAGACTGGACGGTAAGATCACATACTTGGCAAGAAGTGGAATGCATCCTGATGGAGGAAAGTCCCCAGGGAATGAACCAAGCCATCTACAGCGTTGAAGGAGCGCAGTCCTCTCAGAAGTGTCTCCATAAAACTTATCTTGCCAGTTATTCTGAGTTAAGAATCCTTAGGAGCAAGTGCCAGTAGGAAGCATGAGGCTGTGATTAGCAAATATGTTTAATGGGAGGCAAGACATCTAAGCCACATTCGGATTACAGTCACCTATTTCCAAGTGTCTTCCTGGCTTCTAAACCATTCTCAAGATAATGCAGTGTTTCTACACCAGCACTTCCTCAGTTCAGGTGACAAAGATGCCATGCTTGTGGCTAATTGTTGGGGGGGGGGAGATCTGAGCGCACCCCATGACAGGTGTGAATGGATGCGGTGAATGGCAGGGAAGAACTAAGATGCCTTTGCTGCTGGTGCCACACATGAGCTCATATGACGTCACTGCAGGTGCACCCGAGTGACCGGCTCGTGAGCCCACTCCCTTCGTGCAACTCATTCTGTCTGGCTCACGAAGGGTCCAACCACCTGGGAAGCTGGGTCCTCTTGGCAAACCACTGCCCAGGGGGCTGATGACTGAAGCTTATATGAGATGATAAAAAGCCGTGCATGCCCGACACTGGAAGGGCGCTCAGTAAACTGCAGTTTCAGTGTTGACCTACCTTTCAAACTCATGTCTCTATCCCAAAACCTCTGCATTTGCACTAGAAACATGTAAATATTTTTAAAGATAACTTAGGAGGGCTTTCAAAAGCACAGAAAATACTTAGTATTATTAACTGTGGACACAAGAAATAAAATGTCCAATGAATACTAAGTTGTCTGTTTTTTTTTCACAGCACGCAATGAGCTTTTTAATGCAGAATTATCTACAGCATCAGCTAAAGATGACTGACACACCCCAAAGAGAAGGGCATGGTTTGTCATAAATGTGCTTCCTGAGTCTTGTCTCTTCCTAGGGAGAGGCCGTGCAGTATTCCCTGCTGCTGCCTTTTCCTTTTGATTTTGAGCTCACCTGGCCTGGTTTCTTAAGTTTATTATGCAGATGGATGGAGAAAAAGACTGTTTGTCAGACACCAGGTCAGTGACACTATAAAAACCTATTAAAAAGAAAAGCCTATAAAAACCATGAGGGTTACACAAGTTCTCATTAAGATGGAAGCATCGCACTTTTAAATACTGGAAACGTCAAATGCTCAACAGAATTAGAAGAGAAGTAGTGACACGATTTAAAGCTGCAGATTCCGGAATCCTAGTACAGGGAATCAAATCCCAGTGCCATCCCTTTCTAGGTGTGTGACCTGGGGCCAACTGTCTGATTCCTGTTTACAGTCCCTATGTCACAGGCATGTCATGAAGATTATGTGACAATGTGATGTAAAGTACTTAGGTCAGT